CCCCCTTTCTCTCTCTCTCTCTCTCTCTCTCTTTCTCTTTCCCTCTCTTTCTTTCTCTCTTCTTCCTAGACTTCAAAAGTCACTTACCTACCAAGATCTACCAACATTTTCTACAAGATTCTCTATAAGTAGTTCTACCCAAATGGCCTGAGTCAGGGATAATCTAAGACAATTCACTCACAACCCCACAGAAGTAAAGACTGGGCCACACATCTCTCCCTGGCAAGGCTGACTATTACCTCTGACTCAAATGTTTCACCCGTGACCCAGATCTCCCCTGCCCTGAAGACAGCTGCTGAAATCAGTGCAACCACCGAGGTCCCAAGCACTCCAGGAGGAACTCGGCCCCTCCTGTGGAGTGACCTGCAAACTCTCGCTCCTCGTGTGCGCCTGGGGGGAACAGTGCCCGGAGCCCTCAGTGTACAGCAGGGAAGCCACTGCCATCTCTTGGAAGCCAGAGTTGGCAAAGGCGGAGAGAATGCCCAGGTGATCCTGGAGGCCTGGAACACGGGACCCTGGGACCCCACCCCCCACTTCTACCTGTACCCTCTGCTGATGCACAGCCCCATTCAGGAATGATGCTCCTCCAAGATCCCCAACTTGGCTCTATTTCTGCCCTGCAGGGTTTAACTCCAGGAAGCTCCTGAGTCCGTGTCCCCAGCAGTAATAGGTGCTGTGATGCCCAGAAGCAGAAGTGAAGGAAGAGGGCAAACAGAAGCCCTCCTGGCCTTGGCCCTCTCCAAGGGGAAGGAGGAGGACACCTGAGGCAGGGAGTCTTCCCCCTAGCCCCCCACGCACTACTGTCTTCACACCCCAGGCAGCTTGTTTGGTGCCTTCCTGGGGACACACCTGCCAACCCCTGGGCCCAGCCCTGCCTCTGGCACAAAGAGCAGCACTTACCATGATGGAAAAGATGAGGGGGATGAGATTCAGGGGCCAGACGGGGCAGAAGCAAGAGGCGATGGCGAGGATGAGGTAATCTTTGGGGACTTCTTGGTCCTGGGCATAGGAGGTGGTGGCGATGGAGGATGCCCGCCTCGAGCTGGCCCGGGAGGGGGACCGGGGCAGTGGGGCCTCCAGGTGGCCCTCGGAGATCACCTTGAAGGGCAGGCTGTGACCATTCTGCTCCAGATCCAGAGCCCCCGAAAGGGACTTGGATAGACTCAGGGGCTTGTCGCCTTTGTCCTCTGCCTTGGTGAGGAGCTTCTCCATCTCTGGCAGGTCCAGGGGTGAGATGGAGCCCGACTCCTGTACTGGAGGAAACTGAGGCTGCACAAGGTTGGCCATGCTGGCTTCGGTCTTGTGCTGCTCCAGCTCCAGGCTTGGGCGAGGGGCTTGGGAGGAACCTCAGCGCACCATTACCCAGCCCAGACTGAAGGCCCCAGGTTAGGGACAGAAGCGTCTCCTGGGGTGCTGAGAGCCAGCTGGGTGCTGGAGGGGTCAGCAGGCTTCTCAAGGTCAGCTGAGTTCAGAGGTGAGGACTGCCTGCTGCCCCCGCGGAGCTCCCAGGAAGAAGCTGGAGCCTTCAGCTGCGCTCAAGTTTGAGGCCAACTTTGCTGGAGCTGCTGACAGTACCGACTGGCAGGGAAGCAAGAGAAAGCTCAGAGAGCATAGAGAGTGCTCCTCTTCCCAGAGAGGCTGAGACAAAGTCAGGAGGCTGTGTGTGTGTGTGTGTGCGTGTGTGTGTGTGTGTGTGTGCGCGTGTGTGTGTGTATGCGCGCGCGTGCGCGCCTGGTGTGCGAGTGCACACCACACAGCCTCCCTCCCTCTCTGCCCTCCTTGGCGATGCTTTTCCTTTTCAATTCCCCTCTCCCCAGAGAACCACCCAGCAGTATTCTGCCTCTGCCCCAGCCCAGCCCAGCTCTATCCTGCCCTGCCCTGCCCAGCCCAGAGGGACTTGGGTTGGCGTCTGGCTTCCATTGCAGTTCCGGGACCTGCTCCTGTGGGCTGGGGGGCTCTGGAAGGGGAAAAAGACAAAGTGGGGCACAAAGCAGTGTGTCTTCTTCTGGGAACTGAGTCCTCTGGTTTTCTTCCATAACTCAGATGTGGGCTTTCTCCTATCTGTAAGAAAATGCTGGGCCCTGAGCCCACCTATACCATCCCCCCGCCCTGACCACCAGGCTCTAAGGTCTAAGGAACAAAGCCTGGTTCCTGACTCCAGGAAGGAAGGGGAGACATGAGCACCAGTGTGGCCCCCAGAGGATTCTACCTGGACCAATGGGGCCCATCAATTGGCTTCTAAGTGGATCCCCAAGGGGGAAGCGGGAGTGCAGAGTATAAGGGGGAGGGGTTGGGCTCCATCTGGTGCCGGAAAGAGCAGGCAGGCAAAAATTCTCTCATTCAGGAGCTGCTCAGGGCAGATGTCAGCTCTGAAGGGCCTTGTGTTCTATCCCCCGGATTTTCTGTCTTTGTGTCTCCCTCCTGTTTCTGCCTCCCTCTCTATTCTCTGCATCTCTTCTCCCTCCATCCCTGACACCTCTCCTTATATTGTTTTACAAAGGTGACCTGGAACCACGGGGGATGGTGGAGGGCTGGAAGGGGATGTGTGAAATAGTTGGAAATCTTAGGATCATGCATGATGTGGGGTGGGAAGTGAGAGACAGGAAGGGCTTCAGAGGTTGTGGAGTTCAAATCTGTTGATATGACACGTTAGAAACAGAGGCCCAGAAATGGAAAGAGACACTCATCTCAAACTGTATCTCAAACAGATTATCAGTTTCTGATCCAGGTCCTGGAGTAGTTAGGAGCAAAATCAACCATGTTAGTGGGGAGAGATGGCTTTGGGTTTTGTATCAAGCTGGCTTTGAAATGCTGCTTCCAGCAAGGGCAGGGCTGGCAGGTGGGGGAGGGTGTGTGGCCAGGCAGAGAGAGAACTTGCCAGAAGGAAGGAAGGCGAACAGCAGAGAAGGGTCACGTGCAGGGCCAGCCCAAGGGGGGTCTCGGAGGCTAAAGGGACACCTGGAGACAAATATGTTTTGAAAATGCTTGTGGCTTGGGGACAAATTTTCAGGTTTCATAAACTTGACCATATTAAGAAGTTTTGCTCAATAAAGGAAACCCATTGTCACTTGCAAAATGCAGGCCTGGGAGTGGGGGATGCCTCCTCCTCCTCTCATTCCTCAGGGAGGCCAGGTGCGGAGCTGGGAGTGAGCTGGGCTCTCCTGCCCAGGAGTTATGAAATATGTTAACAACTTTATAAGTAAGAAAGCACCTTCAGAGCGTTGCACGTTGAGTCCCTGAGTCCTGGAAACTCTGAGTCAGTATTCAGCTAGACAGGATTCTGTATCACAGCCTGCGAGCTGACCCTCAGGTGGAGGGACTCAGGCCCTCTGCAGGGTCTACAGCTGCCTCACCCAATTCAGTCCTCTAACTACATGTGGCTGCTGAGCACTTGAAAGGTGGCTCGTCCAAACAGAGGTGAGCTGTAAAACTCACATGAGAGCCAGGCTTGGTGGCTCAGCCTGTAATCCCAGCACTTTGGGAGGCCAAGGCGAGAGGATTGCCTGAGCTGATGGGTTTAAAACCAGCCTGGGCAACTAGGTGAGCCCTCATTTCTACAATAAAAATCAAAAAATTAGCTGGGCATGGTAGTGCACACCTGTAGTTCCAGCTACTTGGAAGGCTGAGGCGGAAGGATCGCCGGAGCCCAGCAGGCAAGGCTGCGGTGGCCAGGAGTGGCCACTGCACTCCAGTCTGGGCGACAGAGTGAGACTGCAACTCAAAAAAAAAAAAAAAAAACTCATGAGATTTTGAAGACTTGGTCCAAAAAAGGAAAAGAAGGCTGGGCTCGGCTGCTTAGCCCATAATCCCAGCACTTTGGGAGGCCTAGGTGAGTGGATTGCCTGAGCCCACGGGTTTGAGACCAGCCCGGGCAACTAGGTGAGCCCTCATCTCTGCAATAAATAAAAAACTAGCTGGGCGTGGTAGCGCTTTCCAGCTCCTTGGAAAGCTGAGGCGAAGAATTGCCGGATCCCAGCAGGTCCCACACTGGCGTGGCCGTGAGCATGCCACTGCACTCCAGCCTGGGAGACGGAGTGAGACTCCAACTCAAAAAAAAAGAAAAGAATGTAAATATCGTGCTAATACTTTTTACATCGATTACATGTCGAAATGATAATAGTTTTGATATATTGGGCTAAAGAAAACATTAAAATTAATTTCATCTATTTCCTTTTACTTTTAAAAATGTGCCTAATAGAAACTTCAAATAAAAAAATGTAGTTCCCCTGATTTCTTTTGGGTAGCACAGACCTAGAGGAGAGAAGGAACCAGACACAAAGAATGCATTTATTACGCTTTATAATGTATACATATATAATACACTTTGTTTTGAGTTGGAGTCTCACTCTTATCGCCCAGGCCGGAGTGCAGTGGCACGCTCACAGCCACCGCAGCCTCCACCTGCTGGACTTAGGCGAGCCTTCTGCCTCAGCCTTCCAAGTAGCTGGAACTGCAGAGGTACGCCACCACGTCCAGCCAGGTTTTGTGTGTGTGTGATTTATAAGTAATACACTTTCTATTTATTAAATATTTGATTGAATCAAAAGGAAAATCCAAGAAGTCTCCCGAGTAGTCAGTCCCTGGCAGTGAGGGTTCCCGGATGGGCTGGGATGGGGGAACTTGGAGATCCAGGTTTGCTCTGCCAGTGTGGATTCTGGTATTTGCAGCGCCACCTAGTGGTCTGGTGGTGAGAAGGGGAATGACCAGAGTTGGTGTGAGGGCAGGAGGGAGAGAGAACCCTCCGCGGGTTTGGGATCCGGGACCTGTGACCCCAGACTGCTTGCTGCCCAGGATCCCGCATTAGAACCCAGGCAGATTCCCCTTTAGGTTTTACATGGAGGCCCATGGGCTATATTCATCATACAGAGTTTGCACAGTGTTTTAGAGAAAGGGTTTTTCTCTGTTGCCCAGGCTGGAATACAGCGGTGCAATCATAGCTCCAGGGCTCAAACGATCCTCCCACCTCAGCATCCCGAGTAAAACTGGGACTACAAGCACTTTTTTTTTCTGGAGTTGGCGTCTCACTCCGTCGCCCAGACTGTAGGGCAGTGGCATGGTGGCACACCTGTAGTCTCAACTACTGCGGAGGCTGAGGCCGAAGAATCGCCTGAGCCCAGCAGACCCAGGTTGCAGTAGCCATGAGCGTGCCCCTGCACTCTAGCCTGAACGACAAAGTGAGACTATGACTCAAAATAAATAAATAAGCCGGCTCGGTGGCTCAGCCTATAATCCCGCGCTTTGGGAACTGCCTGAGCCTGCAGGTTCGAGACCCGCCTGGGCAACTTGTCAAAACGTCATCTCTACAATAAATCAAAAAATCATCCGGGCGTGGTAGCGCATGCCTGTAATTCCAG